ATGTCACCGCCTGTTCACTTCCAAGCCCAGCTCCTCTCTGTCCCCGTGACAGACAACACTGCCACAGTGGAGAACAACGAGTCATATCGTCGGTATGAGCGGACCCCCGCACTCCCCGCACTTAAGATGTACTGGTACCGCGACCACTACGTCCCCAATGACGTGGACCGCACCAACCCAGAGTCGAGCCCGCTTTTCTGGCAGGGCGATTACTCGCAATTACCGCCTGCATTGGTTATGGTTGGCGAATTGGATGTGCTGCGCACGGAGGGTGAGCAGTATGCGGAGAAGTTGCAGAAGGCGGGTGTGGCTGTTGATCTGCAGGTTATGAAGGGCATGCCGCATCCATTTTTGGCCATGGATGGGGTATTGTCTGAGGGCAAGAGGTGCATCACTCTGATGTGTGATGCGCTTCAAAAGGCCTTTTGGGTTCAGTGAATTATTTCCTTTTAATATAAATATCGCCCTGAAGAGAATCTAGATAATAAATCTACTTATTTTAACATTTCTAAGAGAGAAGAAGAAAGAGAGAGCGGCTGACGTATCTATCTACTACCCACTGGGCAGATGAGAGACCTATGGTTATCTTCTCTCCATACAGTGTACCCTGTCCAATTCAAACTCCATACACTCGCCATCCTCCAGAACGCAGTGTCCGTCTCTAATCACCTGGTGTGGAGGACAACTAGATGATTTCTCTGAAATGCACTTTTTGGTCTTGTTCTTCTTGAAACCTGTCTGGATCCTCTTCGAGTCAGACTTTGACAATACATTTATTGCCTTTGGAAACAGATCCATCAGGACACCTTGGGCATATCCTTGGAAACACAGTCAGAGCCCTGGTATTGACTTTCGTCCGGGCAGTGGGGCTTCCCACTAACGCAAGCCGTGCCGTTGAAGGCGCCCTTGCCGTCGCAAACCGGAACACGAAGAGAAACACATTTCCCATTCTTGGGTATGAATTCAGATTTGCAGCGGCGAATCTTATATTCACATTCATGAAAACCTAACTTTCGGGATCTGGGCATTTTGGAAACTATTCACTAACGCAGTATGGGCCATGGGGCTCAGTATCACCGGGATAGACTCGACTGTCGACCAAGCACTTCCCGTCTTGGGGCGAGCCCACTCTTCAAGTCGGGCTTTCTGAAACCAAGCAGTTCCCCTCGCCGTCTGATACGGAGTCTAAAGGCCATGAGGGCTGAGTTTGTGATACACATTTGCCTTTGGCAATTGTCGTATCCTTCGGGCAGTCGATCTGGAGACCAACAACGCAGTCGTCCCCTTCCAGTTGCCCTTCCTTGCAATCCGGAGGTGTCTCGAGGACACACTGTGTCCCGAAAAGAAAGAACCCCTTTGACTCGTCGCAAGCGTGTTTCATTCGACTGACGCACTTCCCATATTCGGGCTTAAGGCCTCCCGCGCAGATTGGTTCCTGGTCTGAAATGCAGGAATCTCCAACACGCTTAGTGAGTGCTATGGGGGCATCGAAGCTGCTCTGGGGATACGCAAAGCAAGCCAGAAGGATCGAGGTTGGTTTCAGTAGGGCACCGGGCCTTCTCCTCCAGACATATTGCGAATCTTCCAGGTCATAAGCCGGATCAGAAATTGGCTTGCGAATCTCCACTTTCCTGCACCTCCCGTTGACCAGAGTCGCTCCTTCGGGACATTTGCCATTAGGTCTAGGTAGGATTGAACAGGATTCACCATCCCATCTGTAGTCAGTGGGGGAGCAGCGATCGGTATTTGATGATTCGTATATTGAAAAGATCCCATCTTGGTCCTTCCTTCGCTTGCACCACCCATCTTCTAGGGTGTGTGAATTATCTGGACACTCTGGATACTCCTTCGCCACACACAACTTCGTTCGATAAAGACCGATAAATATGTCAACCCTACTGGCTCGATAATTACTATACACTGGGTACAGTCTTCAATTGAAGCCAAGGATAGGGAGGATTCCTCCGCATCCGCTTTCGGCAGTTTCCTATTGCGGTTTAACGCAAGGCCTCGTCCCATAGCGGCCCGGAACGGAACAAGGCGGGCCGTTCCGTTTACCCCAGCAACCATATAAACAAACGCACCACCTGCAAGCAGTAGCTAACGTAATTTCTAAGTGAGCTGTGAACCCCACTAAAAGCGCGCTGACCGAAGTGGGTTCATCCAAAAAGTGACGGATCTTTATCTGCACCCCGAAAATACTCGGAACTTAAAGATTTTGTTAACGAGCCTACCATACCATACGGTCATATTCAAAGTGGCTTCCGAAAGATTGAAAAAGCATGGCCAACAATTTATCTGAGTAAGGAGGTTGGAGAAATCAATCTAGTAGTCGATAATGCTACAGGGAATATCACGGAAGCGAAATATCTTGATAGCTAATGATTATCATGGCATTCTGCGGGAAAAACTAGCAAAAATCCGAAACCGAACCTATCTCTGGATCACGTTGACCTTGGAGTATATCGACTCAACTCCTTTCAGAGGGGGAATACAGTTAGGTAATCAAGAGGTGATTCCATGGTATATTGTTGTCACACATTGGAGAGCCAGCTTAATTCTACGACTGAGGACACTTGAGAAAAGCTCCCATGGCAATGCACTTCTAAATATTATACGGGAAGTGCTCTCTTCCCGTTCAGGGAGAACAGGGCGTTCGCTCCGTCACTTGTACCCACATATTTGAAATCGCGAAAAGCCCAAGGTAGTTTGTCGCATCCCATGGACGCGTCGGATTGACAAGTGCCATGTCGAAATTTCGTAAAAGCTATGCCCAATCAGCATTCCGTTAGCGTGTGCAGAAGAAGATGAAAACTGGCATGCGGATCTGTTTCTACTCACCTCGAACACAGTCTTTCCGATCTCCATTCGGGCCACTACCTTCCCCAAACACTGGAATTTACCGTGACCAAACGTGAGGTCGTTCGTCTGAACCATGGCAGCCAGCCTGGTAGCGTCTGACTCAAGCCACCGCTCGGGTCGGAAAGCATGTGCGTCCTTACCATATATCTTCTCGCTCATGTGCATAGCGCATGCCGAGTACCCGATGGAAGTTCCACCGGGTAGGAATACGCTCTCGCCATCGACGACCACGTTGTCGCCACCTGTCGGGACGTCGCGTGAGAAGATGTTTGTAACAGGTGGCCAGAGTCGCAGAGCTTCGCGGATTACGGCCTGGAGGTAAGGAAGAGCTTTAGCCTGGGTGGCAGTGACAAGGCCTTCGCCCATGCCCGGAGAAAGGCCGCGATGAACGGCATCGTCGACCTCCCGCTGTAGCTTGAAGTAGACGCGGGGATTCGTCATTATGTGCAGAAGGGTGCCACGGATGGCGCTAGAAGTGGTTTCGGCGCCCGCAATGATTAGCTCCAGTGCCTCAGTCCGCAGTTCGTTGCCTGCTAAGCCGTGGCGCATGAAGGAGGCTAGCATGTCGGATTTTTCATCTGCGGAGTTTGCAGCACGCTCATCGACAAGCCGGAAGCATACGGCCATCATTTTACCGAAGCCATTTTTATCCTTGGCCGAAGGTGCAATAAACCTACCAATAAAAGGCATCTGGGTGATCCAGGTGAAGCCCATACCAAGGGCAGTGTTACCGAGAGCAAGACCCTCCTCGCTCGATTTCAGGTAGTTGTCTATGTCACGGTCACTCTGCAACATACCAAACGCCTTACCGAGACCGATGCTGCTAATAACATCCAGTGAAAGAAATTGAACCTTCTTCGCTAGGTCCATGGGTACAACATGGCGGTCGGACGAGATATATTTAGATCGGATGAGGTTCAGCAAATCTTGGACCCGTTCATCGATAGACCCCTCGAGCTGGGTATTCTCCCTCCCTGAGTACTTTATAACCCTCTTCGGTCAGCAATACCATCGTGAATGGTTGGGAGGGTGTCAGAGAGAAATATCAGACAGGTATCATCATACCCCTAGAGCCATTTGCTTCCTTCGTTTCTCGTGTTTCACGTTATCAGTCTGACTAAAGATATTGTCCCTCCGATACTCGAGTCGTGTGGCTCTGTAGTACCAATCGGAGCGCTTGTAGCCAGGCTTGTTGTTTACGTGCATCCAAACTTCGGCAGAGGACGTGATCAGCACTCGAGGCGCAACACGGGCGATCGGACCTGTGTCGAATCGAGATATTAGCTATAGTAACAGTGGTAGAACTGCCTAGAAGATTCCTCGCACCATGTTTATTGCTGACTTCTGCATACCACTTGTGGCAATTACCTCCAAGAATCGCTATGCTATGAGGCCAGTTCGAGATGCCGGTCCACGAAGGGCCCCGGAACTGCACCAACTCGGCATAACGCGTGATAATCCTGAGAATATAGAGGGTCAAGAGACCACAGATAAGCATCACAGCCTGACCAGATAAGGCAGTTACCCCCATGGTGGAAGATACAACTGGGCGGAGTTGGCTAAAGCGAACTTTGAGGAAGTGTCGCAGGCCCTGCTATGAACTATTGGATGTGAAAAGGCGTGGCACTTTGTGATCTCGTAAGGGAGGGGTTAGGTTACACGTACAGTGTAGGACTACTCTGCACCGCGTTGGAATACTTTGCATACAAAAGCTATTGGAGTTCTTCTATTCAAAAAGAGTACTGATTTTGAGTATCTTGCTTTGTAGCATGAATGTATCAAGACAGAGGATATGTTATGCAGATAATACGTGTATAGAGATCGAACTGTCTATATTTCTAAATATTTAATAATAAAGTGCGTATAAAACGGAAAGATGGGCGATAGGTGAGCGACAGGACCAAACTGTTTATCTGCTGTTCCTATCAAACATGGTGGTCCGATGTCGCCGACAAACCCGGGATAGCAGTGAAAAGAGAGAAGAAAGGAAATAAAAAAAGAAGGGAACGAGCGGATCAAGATGATCCCGTAAAGAGAACAGAAGAAGCCAAGAAAATATCAAGAGAAAGGAAACACTTCTATCGAAGTGCATAGTGAAGAAACTCAGGCTGGGACCAGAGGGTGTATGGAGAACCCTATTAGGCAGATGTCTTCTTCGCCTTTGGCACGCGGGCAAGCCAATAGATAAACACCGCGCCGAAAATATTGACCGCGATGTACACCCACATCAGACCAAAGTTGCGCCAAGCATCAGCGAAATCGCTGGAGATTTGCAAGAGGTACGCATTTGTTTTGCTGACCGTGCAGAATGCACACTCGGCAGTAGCCATGGGATCTTGCAGATACCCAGTGCGGGCCATTTTGATATAAGGGCCCATATAGTCCTCACAAGTTTGGTTGGCTGGAGGGGTGAACTTCAAGAACTCGACTGCCTCACATACTGCATCAGCGCCCGAGACACCGGTCGATAACATTGCTGAGACCAAGTAGGTGAACGGCGAAACGCGATACATGAAGATCCAAAAGCCAGGCAAGGCCTCCTTGGTTGAGAGAACACCGCAGAAGATCAAACAGAGGGAGAACAATAAAGTCGCAATGTTGCCACCAGTCTCGGCCAGCTCAATTCCCGCAATGATCATGTGTGCGAAGGTCGAGGTGAATAGCAAGAACGACAAGATCAATAGGAACATGAGGGCGCCTCGTTCGCTCACTGCGTCGCTAGGTTCTGCATTTCTGTACAATCCAATTGGATAATACCAGCATAAATAGATGAACACAGACATCAATGTATTCCAGGGTAATTCCACCAGGATATTCGACACCATAAACGCCTGCCAACTGTATGTCTTAGACGGGCGCTCTCGCACCTCGTAAAGAGAGCGTTGGGTAACAAAGTTCGGCATGATCTGCTGGACCAGATTTCCAAAAATTGTCATCAACATGAAAACACTGAACATCTGGTTCTGAAGGCCTTGGATAGAATTCTGGGCATGGAAAAATGAGAATCCAATATAGAGTGAGGTGAGGATGCAAAGGGCAGCTTTGGACCAGATATAAGTCGGGGTGCGGAAGTACTGTGCGAAGACACGTAGGAGGCACTCCCACAGTTGGACGTAGAAAGGCGCGGCGAATTCATGAAAGGCGTTAGGCGAAGTATCAATTTCTGCCTTCGAAGATAGAGTGGACTTCAGCTCGGAGAGATGCTCCTTGACCTTCCTATATTCGGGACTCTCCCGCCATACCTTTGGCCACTCAATCTCGCTGTGTGTACCGGGGGCTGCACCGATAACGTCCAACATCCATTCAGCTGGATTTTCTCCGGGCGTCAGATGGTGGGCGCCGTTACGTTGGAAATAGTTCGATAAAGTGGACGAATTTTCCCCAATTTCACCAAAGTAGATCGTTCTACCTCCCTTGGCCAAAAAGAGAAGACGGTCGAATCGCTGGAACAACATGGCTGAAGGTTGATGGATAGTGCAGAGAATTGCTTGTCCGTGCTTAGTGAGCGTGTCGATAAGGTTGAGAATGGACCAAGAAGTCTGAGAATCGAGGCCACTGGTAGGTTCATCAAGGAAGAGTAGGAGTTGGGGCTTTGCAGCAAGTTCAACGCCGATCGTCAATCTCTTGCGTTGTTCAACGTTCAACCCCTCGCCGGGAACACCCACAACGGCGTCAGCGTACGCCTCCATGCCAAGGAGCTTGATGACCTCGTCAGCATAGTCTATCTTTTCTTGTCGACTGACCGTGGCGGGTTGACGCAGGAGGGCGCTAAACACTAGAGCTTCCCGAACTGTCGATGTAGACAAGTGCAAGTCTTGCTGTTGGACATACCCGGTCTTTCGCTGGAAGGATTGATCCGTGGGGCGTCCGTCAACGAGCATTTCACCAGTGACAACACCCATGGTAACTCGGGTTGCAAGAACGTCAAGCAAAGTCGTTTTTCCCGCTCCAGAGACACCCATCAATGCGGTACAGGTGCCAGGTTTCACCCAGCCATCAACATTGTCCAAGATCCTCCTGGGTTCGCCTTTAATTTTGATGTCGTAGCACACATCCTGCCAGTGGAATATCGCAGTTTGTCGCTGAATTGCGGTTGCTTGGTAAGGGGACTCCTCTGTCTTGGCGACCGTAGAGGGTTGGGAAGATATCTCCAAATCACCCTCGCCGGAAGCAAGTTTTGGCTGATGACCACGCCGGAACAGAAGCACCTCGCCTTTGGACTTTTTCTCAGAGATGTACTCAGTGCCAAGAAGATATGTGAACATGAAGAATAATAGAAAAGCAATGAGAATCCCCAAGTTCCTCCACAAATGTCCTTTCATATACCCGAAGCTCTGCTCGAGATACAACGATCCAGACACATTGGTGGAACCCGATTGAGCACCGACAGTTGAGCAGATGCGATGTTCCATTGAGATACTATTATATGCACCGCCGGCAGGAATAATAGCAGCACATGGGAAATCACGACCTTGGAATTCATTGACCATAAAACTTTCAAATGCGTAGGCAACGGGATTGATATAGTTCATCCAGCGAGACCACCCGAGCATATTGCGAGTAGGGATGACAAATCCAGTATAGATCACCATACCCAAGATCAAAATAGCGGCTGGGACCAAGGCCTGTGAAAGCGAGCGGGAAGATGCGGCAATGGTTCTGAAAATCATTGACATTGTGAACGTCGTAAGGAGCGAGAATAGCCAAAAGGTGAAGAAAGCCCCAGCCTCACGACGTAGATCGGTCATAAAGTACAATGGTATGTTGAATGTAACAGAGTTTATCACTTTGTAGGGTGTATCACAGAGCATCGATGCAAGCGCCTCTGCGAAGGGGTGGTAGAAGGCGTATCGGGCTTGCTTTTCAACAATTGGTCGTTGGGCGTAGAGGGTGAGGATTTCTAATGCACTAGAGAAAGCATTTAAGAGGACGGCAAAGAACAGAAGAGCTCCCCGGGAGTAGAAGCTTGATGTATCCTTAGGAAGGTTCACAAAGACAGAACCGATGATCAAAGACATAATAAAGTTTCCAATTAGAGCCGTTCCTGTTAAGCTGTAATCTCCGCGAAGGCGTTGGAAGCCTCGGGTGACACAGAGGGAAACTTGTTTCCATATCGAGATGGTGTATGGCGATTTGACTCTCTGGTGCTTGTCCTGGATAGCCCTACGCGCATCCACAAATGCATCGTAGGAGCTACCTTCGATGGGGTGATTCCTCTCATATTCCTCGATTTCACTAACAAGCTTGGTGCGGGGGGCGCTTCTCTTCCATGCTGCCGCAAAGTCATCAGGGGTGATAGGAACACGACCTTCAAACCCTTCCCGAACTACACGTTCCGAAGCGCTAGTTATCGACGTTAAGAAGTCTGCCGTGGTTTGGCGCTCTGGGCACTCATAGCCCATATCTTCAAAGTATTTCCTAGCCTCAGTCGTTGGCCCGAAGAAGATCTGCCTTCCTTCGTAAAGCACGGTTACTTTGTCAAAGACATCATAAGCACTCTGTGACGCTTGGTAGATGGCAACACAGGCTGTTGTTCCCGAGTATTTGCTCATAAGGGCCAGGTTTTTGCAAAATTCCAGTGCATTGGCGCTGTCCAGGCCTCTTGTGCTATTGTCCCAGCACTGCAAGGGACTCTGACTAAGAGTGGCCTCCGCAATACTAACGCGTTTCCTCTCACCGCCACTAACTCCGCGAATGAAGTCATTGCCAACCTGGGTGTTGATCGTATGGGAAAGGCCAAGCATAGCCATAACCACATCTCTCATATGTTGGGCGTATTGCTCGTTGCTTACCCCCTCGAGGCGATTTCTGGGGGCTCTAGCCAACGCTGCGAACATGAGGGTATCACCGACAGAGAGTTGGGGGAAGTGGACATCAGTCTCTGCTGCGTATATTGCCTCGCCTTTGAAGGCATTTTGCATGTCCTTTGCAGAGATACCTATATTTATTAGTATTTGTCAAACTCTCCAACAATCGAAGTGATATGAAATGGTGCAGCGCGAGACTTACCTTGATAGTTGAGAATCGAATCATCTGACATCTCAATGCCATTCATTTCACCGGCAATGGTTTTGAGTAAAGTTGAGCAACCACTACCTGGTTTTCCCAAGACCACCAATGTTTCTCCGCTTTTGACGAGACCATCAAAGTCACGAAGAATCTGAATTTTCTGGAGTTTCAGGCCGGTCAGGCGTCGTACCATAGTGCCAAGCTCCAGTAGCGAGTTCAGGACGTCTTTCTGATAATCCGTGGGAGAACCAAATCCATGGACGTTCAAATTCTTGAACGAGATGCCAGCGGTCCGATCTGGGTACTTGTCGGGATTTCGAGACCGGATCGCCAGCACCATCTTCATCCAGTCCCGCACTTTGAAGTTGGGACTACCGGGATTGAGCGAAGATTCGGAGTCTCCATTCGTGAAAGGATTGTCCAATGCACCGCTCACTGAGACTCGGGTAGATTGCCGGGTGAGTTGTCGTGCTAGCTGACCAACCAGCGCCTCTCTATGTTCTTCGTCGTCGTGCTCGGTGTCTTCATCGTCATTCTTTTCTAGATCATGGACCATGTCGAGTTCTCGCTCGCTCGAGAGCTGCGCGGTATTGTGACTGACCACAGACTGGGAGCGAGCAGGGTTTGGGTTGAGTGTCCCCAAGAGCGACATCTTGGTTTCAGTAGCAACCTGTCAAACCCTAGGTGTTCGCGTGAAAGGAACAATATTAAATATATATAATAATAAAAAAGACTCAAAGTTTAGATTGAAAGAGGCTAGTCAGTAACAGCAAACTACAAGCAGTCCGGGAGCTCAACATATATAAGTTCATCTCTAAATCCAAAAATAAAGATCCACCAGCAAGAAACAATGAATCCGATTAGGATTCCGGCAGATCCGGCCACGTTAGGGGTAATAATATTTTGCGAATAGCTGAATAGCTGTGATATAAGAACCTCCGGATTGCCGATATAGACTTGCTGGATATTAACTCCGATAACCAGGAATGTGTCCCGTTAAGGTTTGCTGTGCTACTTCCGATACCCGAAATAGGGTTTATCTAATTTAATAGTTACTACCGAGGTACAATACCCCAGTTTTCTTTTCCCAAACGAGAAAACTCTGGAAGTGTAGATGGCCGGGTCGACAAGTGATGTGACCGGTTTAGGGGGCCCGGATCTTGGCATATCGTATCAATACTGACTTAATACACAGTATTTACCGATTAAAGAACATCCGGCATCCGATCCACTCTAAATTTATGCCAAGACTACATCTAAACAGCCCTGGAGAGACACCGAGTATAGAAACTAATCATTAGTCAGACTGTACACAAGGCACGTTGTCTTGTTTGAAGTGATTTCCAATAACCATATATGTGATTGTAACTCATATTTGACCGGAATACATACATGGTACATGGCAGTACCATGTAACTAACTATACTAGTATACATATACTAATAGGGACCCTGCTATCGGGGTATCGGAAAGATCATTCCCGTCCCGGCAAGAATTAGAGCCCACATGCACTTACCTGGGGAAACATTCCACTTTCATGATTTGCACAACTTGCCACAACTTGCCATCTTATGCACCTTTTTTCCCTCCATACTGTTACTTGGGATGGAGCATCTCCCTTTAGGCATACTGTACATGTTTCATTATTGAATACGCAGTTTTCAAAGATCTCTTGGCTTCAATCTCCGGGTAACATCTCCCATATCTAATTATTGCGACTCCTGAACATCCAAGATGAGAGGAGTGCTCAATAACCAAGCCCGCGGCGACTCTGCGTTGCGCCAACATTCATCCCAACTGTCAAGGCCAGAAAACGGACATATAAGAAAAAGACAGCGAAAGAGAAAAGTCAGACTCCACAGATTGAAATCATGTTATGTACTAATAATCTCATTAGGCGTGTGACACTTGTCGACATAGGAAAATAAAATGCGAGGTTACCACCAAGTCCAAATGCTTGTTCTGCAGCAAAGCCAACATTCCTTGTTCTCTGGTTGATCATAGACGGCAAAGGCAGTTGAAGAAGTACGACACCATAGCCAATATTATAATGTGTCAGCAATTAGTAACAATGACACAGCCAGAATATGGTCGATCGCCTAGAGGCAAACATCCAACGCATGGAAGCTCATTTTGAAAAAATAGGATTTGACCTGGGTGAAGATGTGAACGGGTCATCCTTTTTCGACAGCCTCCAACAGTCAGATGAGTCCTCCTCGTCGAGTCCAGCTGAAAACGCAGATTTCATAACATATGCCGGCGTTTGGAACTCAGAAACAATACACCTGGAAGCTGAACAAGACCTCGCCACTGATACGCAGAATCCATATCACTCCCTGGTCGACCCGCCCTCAGATGAAGTCGACCCAGTAATACTGAAAGATCTGCCTTGCTTCCATGTTCCAAGGTGTTTTACGGATACACCGAACGCCGGTGAGAACCACAGCCGATCTCGTAGATTATAAAGCTGATTGACACGTATAGGCTTCTCGACTCTATCCTCAGAAGGAAACAAATGGATAACTAATAAAATGGAAGGCGCGTCCGTTGACAATTTACAATCCTTCCTTTCCTTAGGTCTCTACCAGAGATCGAGGCGAGACCCGCTTGAGAGTTTATTCCCCGACAAACCTTTCTCCCCACTACCCCCGAAAGATGAGATCATATTGTTAGTCAATGACTACTTGCAGCTGTTCAACTCGCTGTGTCCCATATTTCAACCCTCGTCGCTATTGTCACTTTGTGAGGAAAACAACTTACAGGGCCTGCTAAAGTTCCCTAGTCGTTGGGCCAGCCTTAATGTTGTCTTAGCGATAGGGTATATGGTGCGCATAAAGAATACCTCTATTGTACAGGCTGACCGCCAGAAGAGCTGGTTGTTTATGAAAAACGCCTTGGGGTTTTTGAGCGAGCTCTGCTTTGGGTTGCCAGATCTATGGACCGTCCAGGCACTCATTGGGATGGTAAGACGAACAAATTCATTGAGAGAAGATGTGACTAATAGTACTATAGATCTTCTTTCTGTTCGGGACATTAAGAAACCAGCCTTGCGGGTATTTAATTTCCTCTGTTATGCGAATATGTCATGTGATTCGACTCGAACGAAGCGAGAATGGGTCGATATTGTGCCCTGAAGAACTAGAACAACGCAGGCGCATCTTTTGGATTGCATACTGCCTTGACAAAGAGTGGGAAACTGAATAATACCGACATCTAAAACCCATACTGACATGCCATAGGATATCCCTTCGGGTCGGTACTCCACTAGCGCAACGCGACGATGATATGGATGTCTTATTGCCAATGGAAGTTCCACTGGATAATATAGGAACCCTACCGACAACAAACCAACAAGGGACCTTCAATACATTTAGGTCAGTGTGTGAACTGGCCTTAATCAAGAGTCAAGTATACAAACATCTCTACTCGGTCACAGCAGCAGATCGTCCGCTTGTTGAAGTGGCCGCTACGGTTGATATGTTGAACCAAAAGCTCCAACAGTGGAAGGATAGTATACCTGTCGAGTTTCAACCCGAATCACGAAGACCTTCCGCTTTCCCAAAATCCCCGCTGGCCGTGACCCTTCTTTTTCTGCATTTATCATACTTCAACTGTCTGATCGCTATCCATCGAATCACTGCAGTCCGGGGTTCAAGGCTAGGTGGGGATCTAATCGAAAGAAATAGCGTCTACAATCTACCCCACCCTGTGGTATTCATGTCGAAATCACTGTGCACAAACGCTGCAACAGCGTCGATTAACTTGCTCAAATATATGCCGCAATCCAATATCGCCCTCATAGGGTATGTGATGACTTCTGATTCAGTATCAAACACGTCTGTCCTATTGCTTCCTGGTTCTGTGGTTAACATACGTTAGGGTCCTGATCTACTACCCTATTCTCGCATCCAAAACACTTTCCTCAACCATCGTCCAGAATCCACGAGACACCTCGCGCATATATCACATCCAACTTATCATGCAGGTTGAAACATTTGTGTCATCCTTGGTCCTTGATACACCCAATGAAGGGATCGATGGGCTTCTAAAGGATTGTGCCGAGTATCGCTCTCTGGCGGAAGGTGCAGTTAGGGAGGCTACACAGATATGTCGGGGTTGATCACAGGGGGTATACCATCTGTCTCTCTTGAAAGGACAGGTTTCTGCTTAAATTAGACACGATGTGGTCGCGCAAGCGAATACTGGGTTGTTTGCCAACGGTGACTTGTTTTCACGTGTCTAGCAATGGGATTGCCCTTGACTCGCAAGTCGAAGAACAAGACGGTGCATATCTCGGTTCATTTATACGCTCCTCTCAATTTACGTTTATACCCCAATGATATCTAATGCAAATTTTGGATACAGGATGACTCTGGTCTCTTATCCGCCTTCCAAAATTAAATCTTATCACCAGAATCTCAGTCTTCAGGCGCATACTCATAAAAATATATTCTGCATAAATATCCTAATTAGGCCATGCCAAGCTGCCTAAACTTGCTGTTATTTACTACCTTCTGTTGTGGGTTGCCGGCATGACCTAGCACCTCTAGATCACACATCGATGCCTTTTACCTGAACCAAAATCTCAACCGGCGACTCAATGAGACGGCCAGCCTCATCGTGTGTCGCATCCCATTCTTGGATCTCGGTGATAGGGACCTTTTTAAGCCGGTTGCTCTGAACACCGTCGTCTAGGCTGAGTAGTTCCTGTCGCAGTTTGTAGCCCTTCCATTTGGGAATAAGGAAGGCCCAGAAATAGTAATATGTGCCACAGGCAAGAAGACTAGGTATTCCCGTTAGTAAGAATAGACTAGTAGGCCAAGTTTGGTTGACTTACATTGCAACTCCCGTCACGGCATATGTTGCATACCAAAAGCTGACATCACCAGCATACTGACCACCAATGGGGGGATACCAGGGCATCACAAGGAGGTAGAGCTGGATGAGAATATTAAAGATAATCACGAAATGCCAGGCCTTGAATTCAGGTTCGGGGAGGTTGGCGTTCTTTCTGCGCCAGCGAACAACGTAGATACCAACACCCATCGCAAGATTAAAGGCAGCAGTAGGGATGGTGCTTAAATCATTAACTGTTGAGTATTAGTATTGCATGAACGCCCGGCCAGCCTCTGACGGGGAAAGCGAAGAGAAAACGTACTAAAAGTGAAGGCATCTCCGGCAGGGATGGCTAGGATCATCAACATGGTCAGACCCCAAATGACGAGATACGGGCCTAAGGGCGTGCCGAAGGGCTTAGTTGAGACCCAGAACGTCGTCCAAGGTAGAACTCCTTGTCGGCCGCATTCTCTGATACGCCGAGATATGCCAATTATCACGGCGATCATATTACCGAAGGAAGCCAAGGCAATGAGAAAGTTGAGGCCGCGAACTGCACCGCTATCGCCGAAGACCTTTGTAAAGAACAGACTTGCAATAGTCAGCTTAGAGCTTTCAATCTCATCCTTAGGAACTGTGAAAACATGTGCAATTAGTGTGGTGATCCTAGCATAGGATGGGCTGTCGTTAACTAACCGGCTGCAAAGAATGCAACATTTGCAAACATGTATAACACATAAACCACTGTGAGAGCAGTGGTGGCATATATTTTGAGTGACCTGACGGGATTCTGTCAACGGAAATGTTAGTTTCGGC